GGGGGGGGGGCAGTGACCGAACCGCACAGCCGCCTACGGCGTCCCCTGCGGGGAAGTGAGCCCAGAAGGCTGGAGGCCGCTCCTAACCTGGCGCCCCACCCTGGCCCAGGAGACTGCACCCTCTCAGCTCGCGCAGCCGAATTCTGCAGCAACCCGGCACATCCCACCGCCGCCGCCGGTGCGAAACTGGGGGTGGGTCGCCCAGCCTCAGAAGCGTCTAACAGGGGGGCTCTGAGTTGAAAACACTTCCAGAGAGATGACGCTGGAAAGGGATAGACCGAGGTGCCGATAAAAACAGCCAAAGCCATGACATCAACAGAACAGCGGAGAAGCTGGGCTCACCCGACACCGCGCTGGCTGAGAAGGCAAAAAGCGATTCGAAGTCGCGGGCATCCAGAAACCGCGAAACAGTCTCTTCAGTTCTCCTTTACACATTAGAAAGTGCGGACTGTGTAGAGGCAGTTAGAGAGGTCAACACGGGTTGTGTGTGTTTTAATACGAAATTCAGGCACGCTGCTTGCTGTGGGATTCACTCTGCTAAAGCAAGAAAGGCCAGGGTGCTAAAAACAAACACCACCCCTGCGCGAGCAGCCGCGGGGTGTGATGAAGTCTGCAACTTCATTAGCTAGAAATAAAGGCTTCGAATGGTTTCATTCCAAGAGACCAATACAATAGGTATCATCTGACGAAAACTTCAACACCTGGCACATGGGAGCCACTAGCTACTACCTAGTTTAAAGGAGCAACCCCTCCAGTGATCTACTGTCACTCCCATGTTACAGATGATGATTCTGAAGTTCCAGGAGGATAAGCAGCTTACTCCGGGCTGAGAAGCAGGCAGGCAGGGGGCTTGCACCTCTGGAGTGGACCCCAGGAGCTCAGTCTTCCCCCCTGGAGATGTCTCCTCCCCAGCCCACCCCCCAATCTGGGCAGCACTCCCCCACCTCCGGCCACCTGGGCTAGGGTTGAGGGGGCTTTTCACAGATGTCTTTACCTTTTCTCTGGGTCAGTTCTTTAGACACATCCCCAAATTGGAAGTTCCAGGACTCAAGAGAATGCTTGATCCCAGCATGTCATATTACAGAAAAGAAATCCAGGCTCCTGGAAGGCCACGTGGGGTGGATCACCATTAGGATGCAGCAGCATCCTAACTGGGAAATAAAACACACGATTTCCTCCCCGCCCCTCCCCCTTAGCTTCCTGCTGAGCCCGATGGGCCCTCGCATTTGGGTTCTGTCTCCCAGCCTCTTGTTACGCAAACGTTAAGAGCTTTTCCTTGGAAGTTTCAGCAGAGCTTTCAGGGGTGTTTTCCAGGGTTCCAAAATTATCCCTGCTGTATCCCCCACCCCTTCCCTGTCTCCTGCTCAAATTCCTGGGGGCAGACCGTTTTCCTAGTGCTACAGAAAAAGAAAATCCATAGGCTTCCATGGATGCCCATCTCAGTATTTTATAATTTTCTAGAAAACCTTTGCCTTCAATTCAATTTTCCTTTCTCCCTCTCAAATACAAATTCAACTTTTTTTTTTTTTTCCACTTCTGGCTTCAGTGACTAGGAACATTAACCTGCTTGCCTGGTCTCCCAGAATTGGCAAATTCACTTTCAACCTTCTTTTCACCAAGTCACAGACAATTTCTTTAAGATTCTTTTAGAGAAAATGACCAATGATTAGCTTTGCCATTTTTCTCATTTCTCTCTTAAACTGCTTCTTGACCTGCAGAATGCAAATTTCTGGTAATGAGCTGAAGTAGCTGGGCATCAGCTACAGCAGAGCCACCGCCTTGGACTAGAATGTTCTCCCACCGAGTCTGGATCCTCCTGGCCTGGCTAAGTTAGGAGCAGCAACCAGGGTGCTGGAAGATGGGGTGGGGGGGGATGACCTGTAGCAACACTTTCCTCTATGCCAGGTACTCGCAGCACTTCTGAAATCTTCACAATAACCTTCCGGGCACAGCAATTATTCTTCTCATTTTACAAGTTCACAACTCTAAAGCTCAAGACGTATAGTAATTTGTCCATAGTCTCATAGTGGGATTTGAATCCAGAGTTGTTTTTACTCCAAAGTGGTTCTTTTCTCAGAACACAATGGTGCTTTAAGATCTTAATCTCAGTTTTAGATGAGCCCCAGTTCAATCTTCTTCAGTGCATGAAGAGGGGGAAAGACAGATTAGAAGCAGCCTAATTTCTATGGAGCACTTTTAATGCAAGCCTGGGCCTAAGAAACCCCTTGGTCATTTCTGGGAGACCTATGCACCTCACTATTCCATCAATGCAGGGTAGCTTTTGAATTAGACAAGCCCCTCAGACAACAGACAAAGCTGGCTCTTTTTCTGGTCACTGCCAGGCTCCCTTCAGCTGTGGAGCTGGAGAAGTACCACGTGCCACTCTGGAGACACCCGAGTCCTGGGGTCTGAGCAGCAGTGACAGAACCGATGTGGGCTGAGCCTGAGTCCTGGACCTATTGGTAAAGTCAACTTCTCTCAATATTAGATCTCGTTGCCTCTTCAAACACCTCTAGAAGAACAAAGTAAAATCTACCTCTTTGAATAACACGAGTAATTTTTGTTTATAGGAGTTGGAATTATAGGTTGGAGGGAAGAAACTACACCATAAAACCTGGTAATTTAAACACCTGTTTATTAAATGACCCTGTTAGTATTTTAGTCAGTCTTGAATTTAATGCTATATTGTGAAATTAGTGTCCTTATAGTGATATATTCACGTGTGTGTATGAATATAAATACACATACATTAGACACCTTACAGCTACTCACACGAGCACACATACTACATAGGTCCATACTTCTATAATCAACTAGTCTTTTTTCCTCCATACTGTTTAACCAGATCAATCCTGCTCTAAATCCAGGGATGCTGAGCTGGAACCAGACGGGAATGCAGTCGTCAAATATCCTCCAGTGATTCTGCGTATAACAGCGTTGGGTGTGTGACAGAGCACTTAACTGGAGGTGGCAAATCGATGCCTGAGCACCTGTGTGGCTTTGGGGGAACCACCTGACACAACTGTATGACAGGCACAAAAGAATGGAGAATACACTCAGAAAAGCAGGAGACATAGCTGTTGCCAGGGAATTTACCATTTAACCTTGAAGATAAGGCATGAAAATAAAAGACAGTCACAAATCATAAGTGCCCCTCGTTAATGAATAGAATAATGCATTAGAAACTAGACACATTCATGGATAAGATGAACTTGGTCTAGGAAGCAATTAGCCTGGGGTCAAACCTTTTGCAGAATTCAGTTTTGAAGGAAGGAGAAGAATGACTAAAAAGATTGAAGAGAATATTCAGGCAAGGACAGTGGCCTAAGCAGAGGACAGCTTTCATGACAGAGTTGACAGATTGCTTGGTAAGAGAGTGCCATATCTCACGTGACCCCACAGACTTGATGAAGGTGACACCATCATTTTCATTTTATAAATGAGGAACTGAGGTTTTGGGGGATTGGAGTCTGGGCCTGTTTGAATCCATAATATTCCAGTTTCTTGGTGAATGATTTCTAGGGCAAGCACACTGGATTGTTGACTTCTGTTTAAGCCACTTGTTTTCTAAGTCTAGGGGGCTGTTTTGTTAACTTCTTTGGCTTTTAAACCCTCAGACTATTCAGCCATTTTCCCAATTGATTGAGCTCACTCTGACTTCTGTGGATTTTTTTGAAGAGGTTAGCAACTCCATGTTCTGGCCCATGTACAGAAATGGAAACACACTGCCTTGCAAGCCTCAGATCAGCCCAGAACACATTTGGAGATCCAATTAGAGCCACTCAAAACTAACAATGCTTTGAAAGCTAGCTATTGATTAGAGATGGGAATGTCAAGTTACCTTTGCCCAAACAATAAGCTCATTACAAGGCACTTCAGAGAGATTCAAGCATTAAAGACCTTGCTTTGATGACTTTGAAAAGGCAGGGAAAGGCAGCAGAATTAGTAACAAAGGGAATGTTTTCCCCTCATGTCAGAGACTAACGACTGTGGGAAACTAAGAGATAGGCATTTGCGGACAGAAGGACAACAATTTCTGTGTATGGGTTACAGCATGCTTACTATCTCATGGCTTTTATTTCCACCTCAGTGTCTCTATGGGAGAAAAGACTAGTTGTCTAGCGAGACAAGGAGACCAACTTTCTATCCTCAAGTGATTGCTCAAGTGATGCCATCACCTCTGTGACGGGGCTTGTCCATCCGTACTCTCACCAGTGGGCAGATAAAGTGCCCAAGGATGCGGGTCTATCATCAAACAAAGTGAGAAGACTCACACACGCTTCCCTTTTAATTTCTTACATTCTTAGTTTCTTACAATGTTAAAGCCGTCCCACCATGGGTATAGCTAACAAGAGGCGTCTGCTCTATATCCACTCTGTCACTGCTGTCCCCACACAGCGACAGTCACATCTCTAAGAGCACTCCAAACACTTCTGGTGTGGAGGGGTGTGCGTGGGGTCATCTTTCTTCATGCATTCACCTAACAAGCATCCCTGACCACCTACTGAGTGGCACTGTCAAGGTGCTTGGGCTATGAGACAAAAATACAAAAATCCATTAAAAAAAAAACCAGATTCCTGCCGGTATGGAATTTTATTCTACTAACTCAATTGTCACATTGGGGAGATGGCTAAAAATAGAGTAAGTAAACTGCA